TCCCCTCATCCTCCTGGTTGCTCTTCTCTGCACTCTTTCTAGAGTTTCAATATCTTTTTTATAGTGTGGTGACCAAAACTGGATTCAGTGTTCCAGGTGTGGCCTTACTAAGGCTTCCTAGAGTGGTAATGATCTTAATTGTCTTTCTCTGTTAATGCAATTTAGGATTGCATTAGGGTTTTTTGGCTGCCGCTGCACACTGCTATTTAGACTCCAAGATCCCTCTCACAGTTCCTACTATTGAGCCTGGTTTCACCCAGTCTCTGTGTGTCCTTTTGGTTTTTCTTGCCTAAATGTAGGACTTTGCTTGTCACCCCAACTCTGACCTGCAGCTTCCACACACGGCTGCCCTGTCCCCCACAGCCAGCCCTCCTCCAGCTCTTTGAAACCGGCCACAGCCACTCCCCCCCCCCACATTTGGAGTCTAAAGGAAGCCACTGGATGGGGGTCCTTCGCTCTCTGCCCCACATATGTGTGCGGAGGAAATAATAAACAGCCCTTTGAGAGCAATAAACATCTTTCAGGACAAGCTTCTGTGGTTGCAACCCACAAGTCCTGGAACTCTCCAAATTATTCCAGAGGTGTGAACTGGGACCCGCTTGCCAAGATGCACCAGAGGAAGCAGTTGGGAAGCTCAGCCGGCCACTCCTCCTCCGAGCCACTTCAGGGTCCTCGGCCGCTCTATGAGGTGACCTCGAAGGCTGCTCGGGCTTCCCCTGTTCCCCGGCGGAAGGGACTAAGATGAAGCTCTGCATGTAAGAGCTGAATATCCCCCTCCTCCTCCCCCTTCTCCCCCTCTTCTAGTATTCTTCTTCTCCCTCTCCTCCTCCCCCTTCCTCTTCTTCTTCGTCTCCTTTTCCTCCTCCTCCTCCTCCCCCCTCCTTCCTTTTCTTCTTTTCTTCTCCTCCTTCCTTCTCCTCCTTCCTCCTCCTCTCCTCTTCCTCCTCTTCCATATCTGTCATCAGATGTTGGCAATCATGCTGCCCATCCTACTTTGATCAACAGCTGCATGAAAAAAAATGCTGTTAAGTTTTGTCCAAACTGGTCCCTTCGATTTTGAAGCCCTGATGTTCTTCTTCTGCCTGGACCTCGTTTGCCTTCAATCAAACCATCAATCAGAATAGAGCTGGAAGGGGCCTTGGAGGTCTTCTAGTCCAGCCCCCTGCTCAAGCAGGAGAAACCTATACAATTTCAGACAAGTGGCTGTCCAGTCTCTTCATAAAAACCTGCAGTGATGGAGCAGCCACAACTTCTGGTGGCAACTTCTGTTCCACGGGTTAATTGTCCTCCCTGAGAGGAAGTTTCTCCTTCATTCCAGGTTCCTTCCCCCCTTGATCAGTTTCCATCCTTTGCTTCTTGTCCTGCTTCTCTGGTGCTTTGGAGAACAATTTGTCCCCCTCTTCTTTGGGGCAGCCCCTCAAGTACTGGAAGACCTGCTATCAAGTCACCCCCAATTCTTTCTTTTCTCTAGACTAGCCAGACCCAAAACCTGCAACTGTTTTTCATGTTTTACTCTGCAGGCCCTTAGTTGCTCTTCTCTGCGCTTTTTCCAAAGTCTGAGGATCTTTTTGGTGATGTGCTGACCAACACTGGATGCAGCACTCCAGACATGGCCTTACCGAGCCTTTATAAACCAGTATTAACACTTTATGTGATTTTGATTCTGGGCCTCTGTTTCTACGCCAACCAAGAATTGATTTTTGGCTGCTGCTGCACACTACTGGCTCCTGTTGAAGTGACCGTCCACTAGGACTCCAAAATCCCTCTCTGGAAAGAAGGAAATGTCATATATATATATGTTTTCCGCAAGTATGAACAGAGTCAAAAATCACTGAAAAGTCGGGCAGTATCTCTGGTGAAGAAGATTTGGTTCCTTAGGTGGCATCTCTTTCACTGGCTGATGGCTGACCCTATCGGGATGTTCCTCTCACGTCCAACTCCTTGGCTATCGTTTGAACCCCGATTCTGGCCCCGCCCTCTGGGACAAGAGTGAAGGAGACCCCCCTCCCTCTCCTCTGCGTGCCTCTGCAGTTGCCGGAAGTGCTGGGCAAAGCAGGGGAAGAAGCTCCCGGGCCAGAATGCTACACTGTGGCACCTGGGGAAGACCACCACCTGGTGAGGGAGCAGGAACTGCAGACAGACCCCCTCACAGCCACCCACGAGAGACAGACGTCAGGCAGCCCCTCTTCCCTCAGGCCAGAGAGGTGAAAAGCCCCAGGGCCTCCAGTCCCCCTTCCCTCCTCCGGCCTCTCTTTCTGGAGCGTGGCAGCTTCATGGCTAGTCTAGCGAAGAGAAGGACCAGGGGAGACAGGAGAGCATCTTCCAATATTTGAGGGGCTGCCCCAGACAGGAGGAGGAGGGGGTCAAGCTGTTTTCTAAGGCACTTGAAGGCCAGACAAGGAATAATGGATGGAAACCGATCAAGGAGAGATTCAACCTGGAAATAAGGAGAAACGTTCTGAGAGGGAGAGCAACCAACCCCTGGAACAGCTTCGACTTCAGAAGTTGTGGGAGCTTCATCCCTGGAAGCTTTCAAGAAGAGACTGTCAGAAATAGTGTAGGGTCTCCTGCTTGGGCGGGGGGTTGGACTAGATGACCTCCAAGGTTCCTTCCAACTCTGTTAATCTGTTAATCTAGGCCAAGTACACTTCTTTGTCATTGAAAAACATGATGTCCTGTCCTGGCAATTATCACCATCTGAACAGCTCCAAGATGGTGGCTTGAGATGTTCTCCACACAGTCCTCTTTTCTCCAGGCCGAAGCTACCACTGCATCCAATGCTTCCTCATTATTATTAGTTTAACCAAGAGTCTTAGTTACAGCCAATCGGACATACTGCTGTTTGCCCACGTCTTCTGTGCTTAGTTGCCGTGAGCCAATGGAACAGAAGTTGTGGGAGCTTCATCCCTGGAGGCTTTCAAGAAGAGACTGGGCTGCCTTCTGTCAGAAATGGTGTAGGGCTTCCTGCTTGAGCAGGGGGTTGGACTAGATGACCTACAAGCTCCCTTCCAGCTCCGTTAATCTGTAGAATCTGTACTAAGAGCCTGAATGCTTCCTCAGCTGTCCTGACCCTCTCCCACAGAGCACCCTTCCCCCCTCCAAGTGCCTCTCTGACGGAGCTCCGGGCTGACTCGCTACTCACCGGCTCGGAGGAGGATCACCTGGTCGTCCAGGGGGAGCTCCGAGAAATGGGGAATCCGCTTGGCCCACTCCACCAGGGTGAACAACTGCTTGTCTGCTGCTTGGCAGATGTTGGTGACCGGGTCATTGGGCTGCCGAGAGAAGAGACCCCATGTTGGGCATCAGAGGGCCAAGAGCCTGCCTCTCTCACCATCCCCTGCAGGTTCCCTCCTTAGGCCAAAAGCCCCCCCCAAAAAAAAAACCCCGTCTCCTGTCCTGTGTCAGCTTTGGAAGCCCTATTAGCACCAGACGCTTCCACACTGCCACATTCTTGAGCCTGGGAAAATGGGAGGGGGGAATTTCTTGGAGAGCATGAGGTTAGACATAATAGCATCCTTCTTCTAAGTCAAGGCCGTGTCATTTCTGCACCTGGGTGAGAGGACGTCTCAAGCTGGGAGGGATGGTGATTGGGGCATGTGATGCCATGAGGGTTGCAGGGGGTGGATTTCTAGTTTTTTACTTATTGCAAGGAAACCTGTCACTTTCAGATTCGGGATTTCCCAGATGTGCCAGTTAAAAAAGAAATAAAACCCAAATAAAAAAGAACTTTTGAGAAGATGTCTGCCTCGGAGTTATTGGTTGGAGTGGAGGTTTTCTGGAACGCTGACACCCTGCTTGCACTGAAGGGGGGCAGTTGGCCATCATCTCTTCTGCCCCTGAAGTACAAGGGGGGAGATTTTGGAAACCTGGATTCTACGAAAGGGGTGACCTTCTCATCTTCCTTGGCTGCTGCTGCTGCTTTTGGGCTGCGGGGGCATCCACTCTCTCCACCACCACCCCAGGTAAAGTCAGGGTCTCTTGGGAAAAGGGCCCTGGGAGAGGTGAGATGCCCACAAGATAGTGCTTGCCAGTCCTTTGTCTGCCATCCCCCCACAACCCCCCCCCCATCCAGCCTGGCCTCCCAAATGAGGGACCAATGGAGGCCCCTCGGGGAGGGGAGATGAAGTGGCCCCCTCCCTCCATCTACCTCTGGGGCTACAGCACCATTCCCCTGGGGCGAGGGGCTTAGGGGGCTGCTGTGAAGCCAGGCAGATGCCCGGGGGGGAGCAGGTCTGCACCTGGGGGGCTGGGGGTCAGAGAGAAGCCAGAAGGAAAGTGGGAGGGGTGAGAGGAGGATGGGCAGCTCTGACAGAGGGACACCTCCACCTGAAAGCAGAAACACCCCAACCCTTTCGTGAAGTTCCCGGATGCCAGGATCGAAGGCTGTGATGCCCAACCCCCAACAGGAGGGGTCTTCCTTCGGTGGGCAAATTCACAAGGCCCATGGCTCTTAGGACACCCCCCGCTCAGTTCCTCCTCTTCCTTTTTTTTTATTTTTTTTTATTGAACATAACATTTAAAAACATTGAACATGGTGAAGTCATTTTGATGTAACTTTTGGTTCTCATTCTAGTATAGTATAAGTATATACATTCTTATAGACATTTGTTCATATATTTGCAGGTACATACATTTAATCATCCTTACATGACATCCTCCAACACCCTTAGTATCATTTTAATCTCGTAGTCTCAGGTATCCTCTCAACAGCTCTTTTCCCACTGAAGTCCTTCCTTTCTGTCCCCATCAATGATAAAATCCATTCCAAATTATACAATATTCCGATTTGTCCTTATTTTTCATCTCTAGGGTAAGCCTATCCATTTCAGCACATATTAAAATGTTATTTATTACTTCGTCCTCACTAGGGAGTTCCTCCTCTTCCTATCAGTGCTCTAAGCCGGGGTCTCCAACCTTGGCTGCTTTAAGGCTTGTGGACTTAAACTCCCAGAATTCCCCAGCCAGCATAGCTTTCTCTCTTGTATCCCTTCCTCTGCACTCATTTTAGCTGGTAAGATAAAAAGAAACAGACACGGCTGGCTGGGGAATTCTGGGAGTTGAAGTCCTCCAGGCTTAAAGCGGCCAGGGTTGGAGACCCCTGCCCTAGGGGTCTCTGAGGCCAGCATCCCTTGCCTCTTGCTCCAGCCAGCTCTACCAAGCCAGAGATCCACAGCTCTGGCGTCACTGGGGAAGAACCCGCGATGCCCCCAACAAGTCTCGGCGCCAGGACAAGGCGGCTGCTATGGGGAAATGAGTCTTTCTCCTGGGACTACAAAATCCAGGGCAGCCTGCAAAGGACCCAGGACCCGTCCCAGATTCCCTGCTCAGCGCACACACACACACACACACACACACACACACACACAC